CCACTTTCCCCCCTTGGTGTCCGTACGTTTGTTCTCAAGATGAGTTTTTTTTTTTTTTTAATAAGGTTTGAAATGCCAGTTAAAAGCTAGCTTCTTTAAAATGACAAGTTATGGGACTTCCCTCGTGGCACAGTGGTTAAGAATCTGCCTGCCAGTGCAGGGGACACAGGTTTGAGCCCTGGTCCAAGAAGATCCTACATGCCACGGAGCAACTAAGCCCGTGCGCCACAACTACTGAGCCTGTGTGCCACAACTACTGAAGCCCAAGCACCTAGAGCCTGTGCTCCACAACAAGAGAAGCCACTGCAATGAGAAACCCATGCACCGCAACGAAGAGTAGCCCCCGCTCGCCACAACTAGAGAAAGCCCACGAGTAGCAACGAAGACCCAGTGCAGCCAAAAAATGAACAAACAAACAAACAAATAAATTTACAAAAAAACCCTACAAGTTATGCTTGTATCCTGTTTGACTTCCCATTTTGTAGCAAGGGAAGCTGATAGAAGTGTTGCAGGAAAGAGAGTGGGGCATGAGAGGATGGTCATGTCTCAGGTCTCAGGCAAGTCCGAGTATGGGTTCTTGGCTTTGCGCAGGAAAGAATTCAAGAGCAAGCCGTAGTAAAATGAAAGATGATTTATTCAGGGAGAAACACACTCCGTAGAGAGAGTGTGGGCCATCTCGGAAGGTGAGAGAGGCACCAGGGTATGGGGTTGTCAGTTTTTATAGGGGTGGGTAATATCATAGGCTAATGAGTGGGAGGAGTATTCCAGCTATTTTGGGGAAGGGGTGGGGATTTTCAGGAATTGGGCCACCAATTTTTGACCTTTATGGTCGGCCTTGGAACTGTCATGGTACCTGTGGGTGTGTCATTTAGTTTGCTGATGTGTTACAATGAGTGTATACTGAGGCTCAAGGTCTAATGGAAGTCGACTTGTCCTCCATCTTGGATCTAGTTGGTTCTAACCAGTTTATGTCAGGTTCTTAGGCTGTGTCATTCTTTCAAAGGTTGTGTTGCAGGAAGGGGGACACCTTCCAGGGCCCGAGAGTGGGCACTTGTCTAACACTCAGAAATGAATTGTCTGAGTAGACACACGTGCTGACAAAGCAAGAGACTTCATTGGGAAGGGACGCCCGGGCAGAGTAGGAGGGTAAGGGAACCCAGGAGGACTGCTCTGCCACAAGTGGCTTTCAGTCTTGGGTTTTATGGTGATGGGATTAGTTTCCCGGTTGGCCAGTCATTTTGACTCAGGGTCCTTTCTGGTGTCGCACAACCGCTCAGCCAAGATGGATTCCAGCGAGGATTCTAGGAGGTTAGTGGACTGGCATCTCCTCTCTCCTTTTGACCTTTCCCATATTATTCCGGTTGGTGGTGGCTTGGTAGTTCCTTACCAAGGATCTCCTGTCCTAAAATAACTCATGCAAATTGTTACTGCTTTGCTTGGCCAGGGTGGGCAGTTTCAGTCAGTGTTTTACCTAACAGTTGTGCCCTGCCCCCTTCCTGTCTCAGAGGAGGGTTGAATTTATACTTTGTTGTCATTAATAAGTCTTCTCAGAAGAGTGAGGAACCTTGTTAGCTGTAAACCAGACTCTGTTGATTTTTAAAAAATTTTTTTTATTTTTACAATGTGGACCAGTTGTTTTTTTTTTAAGTCTTTATTGAATTTGTTACAATATTGCTTCTGTTTTATGTTTTCGATTTTTGATGGGGAGGCATGTGGGATCTTAGCTCCCTGACCAGGGATCGAACCCACACCCCCCTCATTGGAAGGCGAAGTCTTAATCACTGGACCGCCAGAGAAGTCCTCAGACTCTGTTGATTTTTTTATTTATAAATTTCACGGATTTTTGTCACCTTTTTACTAGAAAAAGTTCTGAAGGTAAACTCAAGTTTATTTAAAAATTTATTTTCCTTCTCTATAGCTTTTTTTTTTAAGGATAAAAGTTGAAAGGTGAAAAACTTTAATTAAATCTTACTCTTTATTTCAGTTCATGCTGTATCTTTCCTTTGATGATGTATGTCCACCTTGGTTTAACCCATTTTATAGGTATTTAGGTATTTACTCTTTTTAGATATTTACTCTTTGGGCTTGGCACATTTTAAAAGCTGCTTTAACTGATACTGAATATTTTGACTCTGACTTTCCTGTGGTCTCTTGCCAAGACATGTTGCAACATGTTGCAGAGGTTTTCCTTGGTGCTCTTGGAGTCTTTAAATCTATTACTTAATCTTGGTAATTCCCCCAGCCCTGCATCTGTCTCCTAGGGGGTGCTCTTGAGCGCTGTCCAAGAGAGGAGGAGATACCAGAGAACTGGGGAGGTAAAGATTGCAAATTTCACTTTCAGCTAAAACAGTTTACTCATTATCATCAGTGTAGAGGTTGAAGCATGCCTGAACCTGTTTCTCTTGCAGGCTTCACTTGAGGGAAGTATAGATGGTTCTTACTCTTAGTGAAGCTCTACAGTTTTTTGCTGGATCTGAACTAGAAAGTGATCAGAAGGGTAACAAGAACCTCAGCATGGGTATATTGCACTTGTGTAGGGTGCTGTGATATATGTGTTTCTTTTGCTTCTGCTGGTTGCTTTTTTTGTAAATCCTAAAGAGAATTTTCTACTTTAGAAGAGATTTTACAATTTTTTTCCTTTTAGATTTATCAGCAGACTTCACTTCACCACTGCCAAAATGACAACATTTTCCACCTCTGCCCATTGTTCAACATCTGACAGTGCTTGCAGGATGTCTCCAGAACAGACCAATCAGGTAACTTATTTTTAGGCATT